TGATATAGTGGGGTATAAAGACTGGAGCAAGTGAGGTAAAATTCATATCATTGCTTAGACAGGCAAAGAAAAGAGCCTTTCATTGGGCTAAAGCTAAAGTGGAAGAAGAGGTAAGTATTATCAGAAATACATTTTTGGTACAGGAAGATGTAAACTTTCCTAGGCTTAAGGTTATTCAAAAACCAGTTTAGAGAATAAATTATTTTTATCACAAGGTTAAGCTTCTAAAAAGCCAGGGTAACTATGTGACTATGCTTAAGTATGGGACAGAGCAGGCTACCATTAAATTTCTGCTGATCCTGGATAACTAGGTTTGTATGTATTGGAACACTAGCATCAATAAAAGTTTGAAATTAAGGTAACTGTTGTTAGTGCTCAAAAAATAATTTAGCCTGGCTGAGAACTGAGCTATAGATGTTGAAAACTTTGCCATCTTCGCTAACAAACTAAAGACTACATTTAAAAGAGTAGTGAAGAAGAGCCTGTATCAACTGCATAGACAGTTTGTTGGATAAGTTATCAAAGTTTGTCCATTTGCAAGGAGACTTGATAATATCACCTTTTGCTTAGAATTTACAATTGGCTACATAGGCAGGAGCCTATGGTGCCAGTGTGTGAGTAGAGGTGCAGCTTCAATTTAAATCTAAGGCTCCATTTAAGCTATTACTTATGTGAACAACAAATTATAAGCTAATGAATTTTTTTGCTTTATAATAGTTATCCATACATAAACATAGCAAATAAACATTTCAGATTTTATGTCTTATTCATGGGTAAAACATTATGCAGCAACTATTTCATTGATTTTATTTTTGTCCTGTAAGTTGTGATGTATGTTCTTCACCATCAGTAAGAAGAGTAATTTTATGTAAATGATGGGTGGATTGTTTGTGATGAACTGGGGTTATCTGTTTTTATGTCTGTGATATATTCATGGAGAAATTTAAAATGGTGACACAATACATATGAGTTTATATATGTTTGGATTACTTGTTTATTTTGACATACTTTTTTCATATTGAAATCCAAAAACTGTTGTGTTTTTAATAAATTACTTTTAATTTTTATAAGAGAATGTTATCACTAGTACACTAGTCATGACCAATATTAACCATAGTATAATTAATTTTTTTTTTATGTACATATGATTATGTTGTATCATCATACCCTAATTTTAATTTTGTCAAGACTTTAAATAAAATGTTCAGCTAAAAAAAAAGGATTGTATGTAGGAGAAAATCTTAACATTATTCCGGCGACAGTACCTGAGTAATGTTATATG